GGGTTTTTCTGTAAGCCATTTTTCTTTTTTTTATAAGTCAACTCCAGGCAAAATGAAACCGTCTTCACTTTTAATACCCTTTAATCTTGAATTTGTTGGATATATCATATAATCTATAGTACACAGTTACAGATACTGAACATCAATATAAGGCAACTTTATACCCTTCTGTAGTTAGATTTTAAAAGATTATATGTGTTCCATTTGTAAAGTAATAAAAACTTTATAGAAGATTTTATTTTGTTTCTTAAACACTTATTATACTGATGGTTGTTATGTCATATTCTCATTTCATGATTTCTAACTTTGTCTTAATAATACTTTTCAGCCATCATTTTTCATCACCCTAGATGACACCTTTGTTAAATTATGATAATATGTTAAAATGTTATTCTCTAAGTGCCCCATATACGTTGCCTCATCTAAACTATAATTTTCTACGCCTTACTTGTCATTAAATTGAGTTTTCCAACACCTATAGAACAATGTATTATTTAAACACCTTATAATATTTAATTATAAGTGTTATATTAAAAACTTGTTTGTCATAACATGATCTTAAATTTGAGATAGAGATATGAGATAGCATAACTGTATATTTAACTTCGTTTGATCTTATAAATAAAAAAACCTATATATCCTTACCAGAGGTTTAGTTAAGAGCACCTCAATGGTAGCAATCTAATAGCAGATAGGCCTACTCAACGCTTGATGTGCTTGATTATATTGGTAGCCTAGTTTATATTTAATTAAAAGTTAGGTGATATTTAGCAATGAGAGATTAGGATATAGTTATAGTTTCTGTGTAAATGATTGGATCCTACTTGGGTATTATTTTATAAATAGTTTATTTTATATGAAGAGAATGAATAAGTTTATCAAAGTATATGGAGAAATCTATAGGTAAAAAATCAAATTGTAACTTCAAATAGGCTTTACCTTTGACTATGTCTGATTCTGAGTGGCAATAGAAAGTTTAGGATTAGCATGGAAAGCCGACATATAATATCTTTTATCTTACAGGAAACTATAGTATAGTTTTTTTTTAGTACTAGATGGTCCCAACCCAAGAAACTATAGTATAGTTTATAGTTTGATAAAAATATGATTTATATGAAATCTATTCTTATTTCTGGATAGCCATTCAGCTTCACTCATAGATGGATACCATACTTAATGAAGGATTATAAATTATATAGACAACCTATAGATATCACCGCTTATAATAGCTACAGATCATGGCTCATGAATATCTGTCTATAGATAATTTTAAAGCCTAATAAGGTTAGTCCAATTTATCATCTTTTGTTTAAAGGAGTTATTAGTTCAATATCAGGACTTCTACTGAACGCTTGCCAACTATTTACTGTACCTCTATAACTTTTTGCTCTCCCTCACTAGTATTTACATCTGGCATGAGATTAATTCAATTCACTAAATGATATAGAAAATAATATTTTAGCCATGACAATACAAAGTTTATAACTTGATATATTAGAAAGCATATTAAGATCCAGGTAGCACTAATAATGTTATATAATTCTGATTATAATTTTATATCATATCCCCACCATCATGATGTAGATAGTGTAAGTTACCCTCTCCCTAGAGTAATTGATTTGTAGTCAGCCATATTTCTATGTATAATATCATTTCAAAAATTGTTACTGAACACTTCAGAATTATGATTAAATCACCTTTTCAAAGCTGGTTCCCTACATAAGAACTTTTAGAATAAAAGTCCAACCCTTACTAAAGCAACTTATAAATTTATATATAAGTCTTGACTAGTACACTAATGTAAATCGCCATCAAATTACTTAATCTTAAAGTCACTTAAATAGTAGTAAGCTTTTAATTAAAAGTTAACTTGCTGATATAACCATTTAGAGCTTTGACCAATTTTAAGATAAGATATCAGCCATCAACGTGCCACCCTCCATGAAGATATTGGCCCTATTAATTCCATAAGATTGGTAGTCAATCTAAATATAAATTTAGACAGTCAATTAAGTTTAGATTTGGGTATTATCTCCGCAGTACATATACTTGAGAATACTCTTACCAGCCTACATTGATAGAACAATCCGCATCCAAGCAAGCTCATGGGTAATATGCAGCTGAGAAATCTGGAGCTTTTGTAAAGCGTTAAGTGCTGTAAGGTATACTTCTGGTATTAGAGTTGTTAGTTGTTATACTAGGTAAACATCATGTACTATATATAATTAATCTCTATAAAAATATGTTTTCATATGCAGAGAAGCACCTGCGCTACTAGTAAATTTTAAAACCCTCACCATAAACTTTACTATATGTCCTACATCTTTGTTAAATGAACCAATCACACTTGTATCAAGTAACATATGTTAGGTATGAAATTTTCAGTACATTAGATGCATCTGTTGCTAAAGATGCTAGCTACACTGTCAGTCTTTTCCCTAATAGGAATGAAGCCTCAACTTTAGTTTTCCAAATTATTTATTATTTACATTAATTTTGATTTATATTTAGCATTGACAATCTTTCATTTGATGCTTTATTGGTCCTAATGTCCAAATTTATAATTAACACTAAATTTTTAAGCACTAATTTAATTTTAATCAATAGCACCAAATTTGTGACCAAATAGTTTCAGGATAACTCACCCCTTTAGTGCTCCACCAACCTATAAAAATAAATCAACAATATAACCTAACTACAATTGGTGTAGCAGCGCATAATGAAAGACCTTGTTTAATAAACACCTCACCCAGTTGCTACACACCATTATCCATGAGGTGCCCTTGTCTACTGACTTTCCAATATCAGACTAGGATTCAAATCCCTGGTCTACTTCCATCTCATAACTTGGCGCATACTGTATCTTCTATTTTATTCTGATTTTTCCCTGTTACTTTAAATAGTACCACTTATTTTCTAATTAACTTTCATGTACTTATAATTAGTTTTAAGTTAAAATTCCTCTTGGGAATGATGAACCTTGATATAGTTTAAGTCCCATTATACCAAGTCAAAACTAGTTATCATATCAAAGTGCAATTGCCTTAGCAACAAATTATTTGCTAAGGAGAGCCAAAGTTAAACATTTGCTTCAGTAATGGAATAATCCACTAAGATCCTTGATGCTACCAATAATAATACCTTGCAGCCTTTTTATGAACAACCAATTATCTGTTACCTGTTTTGCTAAGAAATAAAGATAGCCTTGGTTTGTAGATGGATGGCTATAACATACAGAAACTTAAATGATGTCATGGCTTCTATCCTTATCCTGACTTTAAACTGGAATGTCACATGAGGCTGGAGCAGCCATCTGAAATAAGACTCCAAGATTTATTCACTTTATGGACATTCTTACAAGATGTAATGGTTACTCCTGATTCAACTCTTTAGCTATTGATAACCAGTAGTATGCCTTTGGGATCTACCCTACTCTGTAACCTATTAGATAATATTAACCTTGGATTCAGCAGTAACCACGCTGCTGGTATCCTGAGGCCTATTTGTTGAAAAGTGGTTTCTTCACAGGTTTGCAAGCTTTATTTCTTAACTAATAGAGCTTCCTGTATGATGACAGGAAGCATGAATATGAGCTGATAACATTTCAGGCAAAACTTGACCTCTGTTCATATAAACTATTTAGCAACTTACAGTCTATAATCAGCTAAAATAATTACTAGTAAAATCCAAAGAAACCAGGAACAAGATAATGTTATCAGGGAAGTAATTTTCATATATATAGGTCATTCATAACAATCTAGTGTCCCCTATTAGAATCATTGCATCAGTCACTGGTGAATAACTTAACATTTAATTATATACCTTCAGCATTTGAAATACTATTGGTAAGAACTTTCATAAGCTCAATTTCTAAGTGTAGGAGATTATGCCCTTGATCCTGGTAGACTAAAACTACCAATATCAATACTCTTAACTAATGGGATTCTAATCAACAAAGTAACCATAATTTCTAATTTGGAGATCACCCTCAGGAGCCTAAAAGTCATTTACATAGATTTGGATAATTTAATACAAAGTTGGAGCTTCCTCCTCAAGGCCTAAAAGTCATTGACGCTGAAAAATATAGGGAATCATCCCCTTATAAATCACTATTATTGAAAAATATAGGGAAAAGCATAATCTAGTTAAAATCCCAACACATCCCCACTTAACCATATTATCTTCTTCCAACATGTCCACTGATGAAAATCCATTTACAAAACCCCGCGTCCTAGAGGCAGCAGAAACCCAATGGTGGTGTACATCAGTGAGACATAAAAAAAGGTAGGAAATAACTGGCATCATTCCTAGTGTTGAAATCCTGATATGACTGATTGATAAGCCCTAAATAGCCATGACAGATTGGCTAGAATACGCCAACCATGATTTAAAGTATACAAATATTTGAGCGCCTTGGGATGAGATGATATTGGGTCAGGAAGGGTAATTATTGGATCACCTCCAAACAAGGTGATAAGGCGATGTCAAGCCTTAACAAAAATTTAGAAGATTGCCTCAAACTAAGACAATAGTGAAGATAAGAACATTATCCCTGCTGTGACCTCACATTTATTATGAACCAATAAGGATATGGCAGTAAAGAATAGTATAAGAAAAAGAATTGATATTGACCAAAGTTGATGATATATAAATGAAATGTGAAGACCAAAGAGAGGAGGCTGTTAGTAGTAGAGTGGAGGTTAGAGCAGAAGGGATCTTCTAGTATTAATTTTAAATAAAGAAGTGTGGTCAGAGCGGTTGCTTTGTATTTTATTTATTTAAGGCAAGCTGACCAGGGGATGGACATTACCAAAAGAAAGAAAGAAAAAAAAGAAAGGAAACATTGACATGAAATCTGAGCAGGGTCAACTCCATTGTAGAAAGTTTTTCCACCTCTAGATCAGGACTCAAATTTTTCTGGTTTCGTCATGGGTAAGGTTTTCGTGTTATTAGACCTACTAAACACTAATATCTTCCTTCAGCTGGCACCCCAATTAATGTACAAAGGGCAGGAATTGAACCTGCAACCTTCAGGTTGGTAGCCATAAGCCCTACTGACTCACCTTTCTCCCCCTGGGTTGCTTTGTATTTTGTTTAATTATTTACAGTTGTTTCAAGGACTGATAATACTCACATCATCTGTCAGTTGCTAGTAGGCTCAACCCTGTGCAACTCTTATGGAGTAACTCAAATAAATCGCCAAATTTATAACAGTGGTGCTCACTACAGGGGGCCCATTGATCACTACAAAAAAATAAAAATTCTCTAGTCGCTGGCCATGTTGCATCAGGCCTACTTTGATGGTAAAACTTCATGACACACTTCACCAGAAGAATATGTGGAACCCAAACTTGCTTTAGATGCGGTTCTCAAGAAGCAGGATGAGCTCCTTCAGTTATAAAAATATGTAATGAACCAGCTCGACAGCATGTTTAGTCAAATGCATATTCTTGGACAACAAAACAGACAACTTGCTACTTGCTTGGATGACACTACTGAATGACTGCATTATGCAGAGTGGAAGTTGGATGGTACATCTCAGTCTCTTCATTAAGAAGAGGATGAGCGACAAGAGGCTGCTGGGGTGAATTGTATCATGAAGAATATGACACTGGCATGAGCTACTATCCCCAGAAGGGCAGCTCTGGAGATGGTTATGTATTGGCGAGCCAATTCCCCCAAGTGATGTCTGTACTGCCCACCAAAGAGGCCCATGCTATCTCTGAATAATCAGACAAGCCACCCGTTGCCGGACTAGCTCCTCATTGAGATACCGCTTATGGGTCTCACCTATTACTCAGTATGCCCCAAAGGTTTGTGGTTATGAGTGGGAGGAGGTCTATATTGATAAGCTGCCTCCATAGATTGCAATGGGAATATCCATGGCTTCTTTAATTATTTTGAGTTTGAAGTGGAAGGCACCTCAGATTGTCATAAAGCTAAACTGTTAATATCTGCCTTGGATGTTGGGAGTGCCGATCAAGTTACCTGTTACCTTCCAAGCAGTTTTGTTACATATCAAGAAGTAAGGATACTTTGCTTCAATTGTTTGGTGGTACTGCAAAGATGTCACAGTGGAAGGCTGAGTTCTTGACCATTGGATTCCAGAGTAACGAGACCCCCACTGAATTTGCTGACTGATTTAAGGTGAAGCTTGTGTGTTGATTGGGGCTGGAACCTTATTTTAATCTGATGTGTGCATTGCAATGACTTAAGTGGTGAATCCATACTGCAAGCTTTACAACGTCATGACTCTAATTCTGGAGGATGAAGTACCCCTGCTCAAAATTATCCAGTTTTTACGCTGTCTATCCGCTACCTTTCTTCCACCCAATATAGAATGGAAACATACCGCCACCATTGCTGGACCTTTTATTTGAGGAAATACTCCCATTATATTCAGATTCTGCCTAGTAACCCCTAACCTTATTATAAATATGCACCTCACCCTTGGAAGAGTTAATACAGCAGTTCAACTTCCGCCCCAGACCTGCTTATGATAGTTATCAAAAGCCTATCTTCCAACCTGGGTCTAACTACGCTGACCACCAGCAGTCAACCTATTGACCCTGCCCTGGTTAACCAATCGCCCACAATCAAATTATCAGCTTGGGCCACCTTAAGAGAGCCAAGGACGTGGACCCTATTGGGTGAATTTTTTTTTTGAATGTGGTCGCCCTGGTCACCTTGCCCAAAGTTGCCCCAACCGTTGGGTCCACTACATATAGCAGGATCAATACTACCAGGAAAAAGATGTAGCGGAGTATAGATGGGACTCTCTACCTCCTTTATCCTAATCCCAAACGTCCCACCAGAACCTATTGTAGTATATCCAGCGGAAGTCCCTCAGTATGATGACAGGCTTTTATGCCAGCAGCCAGTTGGAGGGGTAAACATGCTGACATGAGCGCAAGCTAAGGCTTCAGTGGAAGAAGGACCTCAGTAGTAAATATAGCTGCATGCCTTCCAAATGCTTGACTAAGCTTCTTCAAACGAGCTAAACCAAGACTCAGATGCACCTTCCCTGAAAGTTGTAAACGTCGCCCTCCTGGTAGAAGTTATTTCTAAAGATTAGCCCAAATTTGGTGAGGGAATTATGAGCTTCCTTGGGAAAAAAATCCCTTAAATGTCCATGTATTAAAAGTTAAAGTCTTTCTTATTCTGAGTGTACATATTGTGACATTTTTATAGCAAAAATCGAGTTTGTGATATAATAGATATACACCACAGTAAAGATAGTTTATACTAAGTTGGTGACAAAGCTGACATTAAAACCTGATGTAAAACATTGAACGTTGTATGAGACCACTGGAGCAGAGAGAACGGTCTCTGAGGTATCATACAGCGCACTAGCTTTGTGGTTTGGGCAACTGTTGTTGTAGCTCTGGTAATAATGTTACCAAATAGTAATTATGACATGTGAATTAAAACTGCTTTCATGTGACACTTTGGGATGTTGTTGATATGACGGAGGAGACCTTTAAAATATTGGGTCAGCGTTTCCAATTTACTTTAATTCTAGTGGAGTGTCAAAGTATCCAGTGCATATGAGAAATATCAACCTTGCATATAGTGATGGGGTGATTCCAGTTCGCTACCATCATCTAAAGAGAAAGATCTGTGCCCTCCCCCAGCAGATATATGAATAGCAATGGCTGCCGCTCAGAGCTGCTGGGCCTATGTCCATTCCCATCTAGACACCCAGTAATATTACACACTGAGTTAGAGTTGAAAGTGCCAGCCAGGCTCTATGGGGAGGTCATTACACCTTATCAGCAATTATGGCTTAATTCCTATGTGGCTCTAGGCATTATACTACTGGGACATGGTGAGATCAAGGTTCTACTAGCGAATCTACAAAATGAACCAATGCAATTCCACCAGCATCATTTAGCATCGTATTCACAATTGATCCCTATTGAGGAGGTCCTTTAGGTTCACAAGTTTAGGTTGCTGGATAAATTTGGCTTACCAGTTGATTCAAAACCTAGCATAATGATGGTGGTACTGCACGAAAACTTAGTTGGGTTATCAGAAGAACAGAAAGATCAGACGATATCTTTATTGAAAATATAAGGAGATTTTTGCTGCCAAAAATCATTATTTAGTGTGCGCCCAGGGGGTGGTCCACCAACTAGACACAGGAGATCATCCCCCATCAGGTCTCAGCTAATCCGCCAATATAGGGTAGCTGAGAAAGTAGTAACTGAGGAAATTGAAAAGCTGCTGGAGCTAGGAATGCTCAAACTGTCCAAGAGTCCATGGGCTTTGCCCATTCTGATTGTAAAAAAGAAGGACAGTACCAAATGGTTGGTGATAGACTACCAGAATCTCGAAAGTATTACTAAAAAGGACTCATATCCCTTGCCTTGGATTGATGATGCTCATGATTGGTTAAGCGGAGTTCATTACTTCTTGATGATGGATTTGATATCAGGCTACTGGTAAATCAAGCTGTCTGCAGCGGAACAGGAGAAGTGTGCCATTATCACGTCTAAGGGGCTTTTTCAACTGACCCATATGCCACAAGGGCTGTGTAACGCCCCAGCTACGTTTCAAAGGACCATGGACACCATTCTCTGCGACCTGAAGCTGTCATGCAATCTTATGTACCTTAAAAATATCAACATGTTCTCTTTTACAAGCTCCAAGCAGCTTACCCAATTGGATTTGGTCTTCCGCTGACTTTCTAAGGCTAACATCAATAACAAGCCTCGTAAATGCCGCCATCAAAGATCAGTTGGAGTACCTAGGGTTTGCAGTAGATGCAACAGGGCTTAAACCTCAACTGACCAAGGTGGAAGCTATTTGGAAAATGACTTTGCTGACCATTAAGTGGTACATACAAATATTCATGAGGATATAGACTACTATTGGCACTTCATCCCTAACTTCAGTTGTATTGGGGGCCTTCATTTTAAGCTACTAAAGAAAGATGATGTGTTCAAATGGACTAAACGCCAACATTGCTCCTTTGACATCCTTTTGGACACTTTGGTCAGTGCACCAGTGCTATGCTATCCAAATTTTGATAAAGAATTTATTGTCCAGACGGATGCATCTCTTTCCGCTGTAGGGATGTTTCTATCCCAAAAAGATGATGATGGGAGGAGCACCCAGTGGCGTACTGCAGTTGGAGCCTGAATTGCTATGAACATATATTTACCTTGACCAAGCGGGAGTGCTTTGTGGTGATATATGCATATAAGCAATTCAGGGTTTATCTGCATGGAGTGAAGTTTAAAGTCATAGCAGATCATGCTTCATTATGCTGGTTGCAGAACCTCAAGAAGCCTATAGGTCGCTTAACCTAATGGGCCCTCAAACGGCAGGCTTATGACTTTGAAATCCTACATTGACCTGGATCAAAACCCCAGAACGCTAATTGCTTGTTGAGACTGCCAACAGCTGCCATCACAGAGGATCTGATAAATATGATGTACAGTAAAATGCTCATTGGAAAATATGACAATGAACCGCCTCAAGTCATAAAAGCGTCAAACAAGATGTGAGCTAATAATTTCTAACGGAATGGTGAGTAGTATAAGAAAATTGACGATTCTACAGTGAACTTCCCATGACCCTCAGCATGGCCTATCATTATCATGAGCGTACATAAGGCAGTCAGACATGGTGGAGTGTGCAAGACATTAGAATTTCTGTGACCTTGGTATTACTGGGAAAGAATGAACTTCAATGTGCTTGAAACAATTTCTTGCTGCCACCAGTGCCAAGTGGAAAAGCCGTTCCACCAGAAGACTTCACACCAGTTAGTGAAACCATATTTTGCTTAGCATACGGTTTTCATTAATGTCATTGTCCCCCTGCCAACAAGAGCTAACTGGTCCAAATACATCACGGTGGCAATTGAAAACTTGACCAGGTGGGTTGAAGCATGAGAAATAAGGGATTTTGGGGCGGTCACAGTTGCCAAGTTCATAATGGAATGTACTATCCAGCAACATGGCTGTCCTCTGTTCCTTCTTACCAATAATGGAACTAACTTCACTTCCCACATCCTTCCAAAGATAAACGAGCTGATGGCCATCCATGGGGTTTTGATGACCTC